TTGTTCGCAAAAAACTCTAAAATGGACATGACTTTCAGTGCATTTAGGCGGTGGTGGAATGCAGCTACATTTACTCAAATACTGTCCATAAGTATTTTCATTGTATGCTACTTTATACTTCTACTCCACTACATTCTGGAAGCCAGTAATGTAGTTTTTACTGTACTACATGTATCAGGCCATTTACTTACTTTGCTGATTCAGATTTATTTTGATTATATTTTGATGCTAATACTTTTACTAAATAAGATTTTGAATGCAGGACTTTCAGTCGTAGAAGAGTATTTCTACATTGTGGTATTGATTATTTTAGTTAATTGAAAAGTCTAAATACTTTAGTATTTTGGTATTCAAAACTGTAGCACTTGTAGCATTGCTGGTAAGTATAAATAGAAAAGGGATTTAAGTGTGGCTGTGGAACTGGAGGCGAGTAGAAAACAAGATGGTGAATTGAAGAAGGCAGCAGTCCTCCAAAAAAGGTGGTGGTTTTATAAACCAAACATCACAATGAAACAGAGGAGAAGAACAACAGTCCCAGGGAAATTAACAAAGAGCAAATAGAGTGAAAATAAAACTGAAGTAAAGCAGCAAGCTGCCAACTAAAACACCTCTCCCACAGTTTATGCCTAAGTGGCTTTATATCCCCCTCCTGGCCCCACCCTATTACTGAAGCCCTGCATGTGAGGAGGTAAAACAAAATCCCACTGAAACCTGATCCTAACAGCAAACATCACAGAGGTTAATACACACTGCACCAACACATAACCCTGGTTAGGGAAAACGTATTTCATTTTATGTCTTTGTGATTAACTTTAGAAATAAAGTAAACTAATTGATAGCTCCACCCGCTGCCTCACTAGACACAGGTGGCCTGAATCACCTGATGACCGTGATTGCTGTGGGACATGTAGAGAATGGGCATGTGAAAAGGAAAAGGGTGTAATTGTTTAGAATTTTCTATTACTTTTTATTTTCAGTGTCATTTAAGTTTAGTTGTATTTAGTTTTCATATATTGATGATTAGTTTTACAGTAGTTTTTTTAATTATTATTAGTTTTGTAACCAGGCAATATCATTTCAGTTTAATTTTCGTTTTTTTAATAGTTTTTATTTCGTTTCAGATTGCTAACAATACTTTTTATGGCTTATTTTCGGTTTTGTTTCAGTTTTCGTTTTCAATAATTACCCTGTTTTCATCTGACAACCAAAAATTGCACGGTCCATAAATGCCAATCCTCCCACTAACCTGCTTTAAGGTACTAAACATAAGCATGAATTTAAGGAAAATGTGTTAGAATTATCCATCCATCCATCCATTTTCCACCGCTTATCCGGGGTCGGGTCGCGGTGGCAGCAGGTCAAGCAGGCTGACCCAGACCTCCCTCTCACCGGCAACATGTTCCAGCTCATTCTGGGGGATCCCGAGGCGTTCCCAGGCCGGCTGGGAGATGTAATCTCTCCAGCGTGTTCTGGGTCTTCCCCGGGGTCTCTTCCCAGTTGGACGTGCCTGGAAAACCTCCAGTGGGAGGCGTCCAGGAGGCATCCTAATTAGATGCCCGAACCACCTCAGCTGACTCCTTTCGACGCGAAGGAGTAGCGGCTCTACTCCAAGCTCTCTCCTGATGACCGAGCTCCTTACCCTATCTCTAAGGCTGAGCCCGGCCACCCTACGGAGGAAACTCATTTCGGCCGCCTGTAGCCGCGACCTTGTCCTTTCGGTCACGACCCAGAGTTCGTGACCATAGGTGAGGGTAGGAACGTAGACCGAGTGGTAAATTGAGAGCTTTGCCTTCCGGCTCAGCTCCCTCTTCACCAAGACGGTCCGGTGCAGCGCCTGCTTTACTGCTGCAGCTGCACCGATCCGTCTGTCGATCTCCCGCTCCATCTTACCCTCACTCGTGAACAAAACCCGGAGATAATTGAACTCCTTCGCTTGAGGTAGGCACTCCGTCCCCACCTGGAGGGAGCAATCCACCGGTTTCCGGCAGAGAACCATGGCCTCAGATTTGGAGGTGCTAACTCTCATCCCCGCCGCTTCACACTCGGCTGCAAACCGCCCCAGTGAATGCTGGAGGTCACGATCCGAGGAGGCTAACAGGACCACATCATCTGCAAATAGCAGAGAAGCGATCCCGAGACCCCCGAGACTGACGTTCTCCGCCCCCAGGCTGTGCCTAGATATCCTGTCCATGAAAATCACGAACAGGACCGGTGACAAAGGGCAGCCCTGGCGGAGGCCAACACCCACCGGGAACGTGTCTGACTTATTGCCGAGAATGCGGACACAGATCCTACTGCAGTCGTACAGAGACCGGATCGCCCGTTGTAACGGGTCCTGCACCCCATACTCCCGCAGCACCCCCCACAAGACCCCCCGAGGGACCCGGTCGAAAGCCTTCTCCAAGTCCACAAAGCACATGTAGACTGGTTGGGCAAACTCCCAGAACCCCTCCAGTAGTCTTGCGAGGGTAAAGAGCTGGTCCACTGTTCCACGGCCGGGACGGCATCCGCACTGCTCCTCTTGAATCTGAGGTTCGACAAGCGGTCGGAGCCTCCTTTCCAGCACCCTGGCATAAGCCTTCCCCGGGAGGCTGAGTAGTGTGATACCCCGGTAATTCGAGCACACTCTCCGGTCCCCCTTTTTGAAGATGGGAACCACCACCCCGGTCTGCCATTCCATGGGCACTGATCCCGACCCCCATGCGACATTGAAGAGGCGTGTCAGCCAGGACAGCCCAACTATGTCCAGCGCCTTCAGCATCTCAGGGCGGATCTCATCCACCCCCGGCGCCTTGCCACCAAGGAGCTTTTTAACTACCTCTGCGACCTCTGCCAGGGATATGGGTGAGCCTCCCCCTAGGTCCTCAGGCGCTGCCTCCTCTGCAGAGGACATGTTGGTCGGGTTTAGGAGTTCCTCAAAGTGCTCTTTCCACCGCCCGACGATGTCCTCCGTCCGGGTTAGCAGTTCCCCCCCCTGCTGAGAACAGCCTGGGGTAAGCCCTGCTTTCCCTTCCTGAGCCGTCGGATGGTTTGCCAGAACCTCCTTGAGGCCAACCGAAAGTCCTTCTCCATGGCCTCCCCGAACTCCTCCCATGCCCGAGTTTTAGCATTCGCGACCACCGCAGCTGCAGCCCTTCTGGCCTGCCGGTACCTGTCAGCTGCTTCAGGAGACCCCTGGGCCAACCAGGCCTTGAAGGTCTCCTTCTTCAGCTTGATGGCTTCCCTCACCTCCGGTGTCCACCACCGGGTTCTCGGGTTGCCGCCACGACAGGCACCGATGACCTTCCGGCCACAGCTCCTAGCGGCCGCGTCCACAATAGAGGCTTTGAACATGGTCCACTCGGATTCCGTGTCCCCAACCTCCCTCGGGATGTGTGAGAAGTTCTTCCGGAGGTGGGAGTTAAAGACCTCCCAGACAGGGTCCTCCGCCAGACGTTCCCAGTTCACCCTCACTACACGTTTGGGTTTGCCGGGTCTTTCCAACCGGTTCACCTGCCATCTGATCCAACTCACCACCAGGTGGTGATCAGTTGACAGCTCTGCTCCTCTCTTCACCCGAGTGTCCAAGACATACGGCCGCAAATCAAATGATACGATTACAAAGTCGATCATTGATCTCCGGCCTAAGGTGTTCTGGTACCAGGTACACTTATGAGCCACCTTATGTTCGAACATAGTGTTCGTTATGGCCAAACCGTGGCAAGCACAGAAGTCCAATAACGAAACACCATTCGGGTTCAGATCGGGCAAGCCGTTCCTCCCAATCACCCCCCGCCAGGTTTCTCCGTCATCGCCCACGTGAGCGTTGAAGTCCCCCAGGAGAACTATGGAGTCGGTAGGCGGCGCCCTTTCCAGGACCCCTCCCACCGACTCCAAGAAGGCCGGATACTCTGAACTGCTGTTTGGTGCATAAGCACAAACCACAGTCAGAGCCTTGCTCCCCGCAACCCGTAGGTGCATGGAGGCGACCCTCTCGCTCTCCGGGGAGAACTCCAACACAGCGGCACTCAGCCGGGGGCTCGTGAGTATCGCCACTCCCGCCCGGCGCCTCTCACCCTGGGCAACTCCGGAAAAGGACAAAGTCCAACCCCTCACCAGGAGCTTGGTTCCAGAGCCAACGCTGTGTGTGGAGGTGAGTCCAACTATTTCTAGCTGGTATCGCTCCACCTCCTGCACCAGCTCCGGCTCTTTCCCCGCTAGCGAGGTGACGTTCCACGTCCCTAGAGCTAGTCTATGCCGCCGGCGATCGGCATGCCCGGGCCTCCCGCACAACCCGCCGCCCGGTCTGCATAGCACCCGACCCCGATGCTTGTCCCTGCGGGTGGTGGGTCCACAGGGTGGCTGCTCCATGGTGTTTATTCGGGCTGAGCCCGACCGGGCCCTATGGGCAAAGGCCCGGCCACCAGACGCTCGCCTACGAGCTCCCCTCCTGGGTCTGGCTCCGGGAGGGTGCCCCGGTTTCCCTGGTCCGGGCGAGGTGGCTGTAGTCCGTGGGCTAACTATCATAGGGGTTGTTTTGAACCGCTCTTAGTCTGGGCTCTCCCCTGAAACCTAGCCCCTGGTAGGGTCTCCCAAGGTGTTAGAATTACTCAAAGTATATTTACAACAAGATGCGTTTTATTTACATTGGCAAATAAATTGATATTATTAGTGATTCACAGCTGAAAAGATAACTTGGCTCATCCTGCTTTAACATGACTCATATTCATTTGTGACCCAGTCATGTGTGTCAACGCTGACAGAGAGGTGCTTTATTTGTGTGACACATTCTTCCAGTCACGGCTACAATCCAGCATCTTAGCATCATTTTTAATTGGGCGGAGAAACTCTTTGGTGCGTGAGGTGGAAAGGAGCTTTACTTGATGAGTCATTCATGCAAATCCTTTATTTCTCCGCCCAGATTATCTGAGGCATAATAACAAGTAGAAGAATGTGGGGAAACGACAAGCATGTTTTGTCACAAATTATTCATCAACAAAAAAAAAAATGTGTTTACTCACCGTTTTTGTCTGCTCGGCGGAAAATCTGAAAAAGAAAGAGGGCAGAGATGGTTATTACCTCTAGCCAAGCATCACTAAAGAGGTTCTTGCAATAACTTGGTATGGGTTATTAAGAATGATGAAAAAAACTAAAACATTATGGATGTTTGACGTCTGCTGATGAAGGCAAATCATTCTGCTGTACCAAACGGAAACATGTGAACCAGGGCTTTCACAAATACTCTGGATGTCATGCAAGGTTGAATGCCAGTTTATAGTACGTGTCAGTTGTAAAACAGGTTTAATTATCACCTCTGGAGCGAACAGCAATTTGCTGTCCAATAGCCAAGAGGCTTCATAGTCAGTATCTTGCAGGGGAACTCAGTCATGAAAGCGGCTCAGAGGAAAAGCAAAACAAACTGAGATGTTTGGAATTAAGATGTTTGGTTTGATTGAATTCTATTGAGCTGGGGATCAAAATAAACAATTAACAGTGGAACAATGGCCACCAGCCGAGTCATCGATAATGTCCCAGAGTATGGATTCAGGCAGGAACACGAGGCCAGCTGGTCTCTCCGAGACACTAACCACCTCTCAGCAGAGAAGTCTATTTTAAAGCTTGACTCCAAGCATCAGTCCCTATACTACAGCTGCTCCTTTGGGCTCCTGTTACAGCTAACTGCATTCGCTGGCCAGCGGCTGCAACTGCAAGATGAAACAAAACACCCACCTCAGGCTTCACCCATATGGGACTCAACAGACCATTTTCACTGAAGACATGTTCACATGACATAGGGGGGGAAGCACAGGTGCAAGTGATAACATTAACGATGGGGGGAATAACAGTCACGTGCCGTGCTACCATGCATGCCGGCTCACTTAGAAGCTAAATTAAACAGAGGCATCGTTAGTGTTATTATTCACACATGTGCTCTTCCTGCTTTGACAACTCTGAAAATGTGCAGTTAAAAAGGTCTATTTAAACTACTGCTGCTGCAACCTGCTGTTATTTGATATATACACCGATACATGAACTGTCAGCTAAACTTGTAATGACATCAATGTGTTGTTTGTGTGCTGTTCAATTTATTGACATAATCACTATTAGGTCCGGCTCCTGTCCCTCTATTCTCACCGGGGAGTTTCTGAGATGATTAGCAGGGGAGGCTGCAACACTGAAGACGGTTGACATTTGTGATAATAACAAGTATGATGAAGATGTTTCTGAATGATGAATGGACACTTAGACATACAACTACCACCTCAAAAACTACCGCAAGATTAAATTGCAATGAAAGCAAAACATCTGTTATGAGCTTCACAAAGCTCTTTTTATATCATACATATAGTGTGCAAATACTTTAAAGTCAGGTTGTGTGTTCTGCTTAGTGTAAAAGGTGCATGACCTGGACCCCTAAAGAAAGAGTTTTTGAACAAAGCCAAAACACGCTTTGGAGGATCTGTCGCTGATGACAAATTGACAGTGTAATCATTGCTTCTCTGATTTTATGGCTGGTCTGGAGTCGGCAGGGATTATTGCATGAATTTCCATGGAGATTTATAATGTGTCGGATGATAAAAAAATCTATTTTTTTAAAAAGGTTTAAACATTCACAACCACAAATGACAGTAAATGAACAACACAGCTTTGCTTCAAGGCAGATGAAAATAAACTTTGACACAGATTGGCTGAGACCAACAACAGAATGACTTCAGTATGGGCGAGTGACTAACACCGGGAGAGCAATTTGTTGGCTGACATGAAAAAGACACAAAGCCGTACAATATGGCTTATTGCTGACCATATGAGGGGGTGTTAGCCAGCCTTTTAAAAAGAGCTGCCTCCTGGTCAACAGCAGAAAGTTCCAGTTTCCAATTTAAAAGACATGAATGCAGTTTAAAGAAAGAAAAACTGAGTTGATATATATATATGCTGCAGCTGTTAAATAAGTCTCCAGTGTAACCATAATCACTAAACCATTTACCTAGACTGATAAAAAAAAACGGTCAGTGCACCCAAAAGTCCTATTATAATCATCCACTGGATTGTTAAACTGCGCACACAGGTAACTAAAGTACGGTGGATCAAAGTTGGAGTAGCTCTTGAAAACCAAATAGATGTTTACAGTTGACAGTTTGGGGGACGGTTTTAACAACCAGCTTTGTTTTCATGCTCAATAAGTGGGTTAGATAATTGGACTAAAGCGAGGAAGCCTGCTCCATTATGAATCACTGTCAACTGGAGTAAAGCTGGTGACCACATTGTTGTCGATGGCTAAAATTATGAAAATAAAGAGAAGGAAAAAAAAACACAATTTTCCAGAGTCCACAGTGTGCAGAGATGTCTTTTCAAAAAGTTAACATTTCAATTACAAAAACAAAGTTAACCTACGGAAAAAACTGAATCTAAAACTAGAATTTTAAACCACTGTTTAGTTTCAACCTATTCATTTATACTTCTTTTTTTATTTTTTTACAAAAAAAGAATAATAATAATAATAATAATGGGCAGGACGAGATAATCATCCTGCATTCTCTCATCCTACCCATTATCTCGTCCTATAATGGGTAGGACAGAGCAATGAGTGTGTTGTCCTCCCTTGGATTCTCTCGTCCTGCATTCTCTCGTCCTACCCATTCTCTCGTCCTACGCATTCTCTCGTCCTGCATTCTCTCATCCTACCCATTCTCTCATCCTACTCATTCTCTCATCCTGCATTCTCTCATCCTACCCATTCTCTCATCCTGCATTCTCTCATCCTACGCATTCTCTCGTCCTGCATTCTCTCGTCCTACCCATTCTCTCGTCCTGCATTCTCTCGTCCTACCCATTCTCTCGTCCTCCATTCTCTCGTCCTACCCATTCTCTCGTCCTACGCATTCTCTCGTCCTGCATTCTCTCGTCCTACCCATTCTCTCGTCCTGCATTCTCTCGTCCTGCATTCTCTCGTCCTACGCATTCTCTCGTCCTGCATTCTCTCGTCCTACCCATTCTCTCGTCCTACGCATTCTCTCGTCCTACCCATTCTCTCGTCCTACGCATTCTCTTGATCTGCATTCTCTCATCCTACCCATTCTCTTGTCCTACCCATTCTCTCATCCTGCATTCTCTCGTCCTATGCATTCTCTCATCCTACCCATTCTCTTGTCCTACCCATTCTCTCATCCTGCATTCTCTCGTCCTATGCATTCTCTCATCCTACCCATTCTCTCGTCCTATGCATTCTCTCATCCTACCCATTCTCTCATCCTACCCATTCTCTCATCCTACCCATTCTCTTGTCCTACCCATTCTCTCGTCCTGCATTATCTCGTCCTACCCAATTCCTGCATTATTAAAGCTAACTTCATCATAGATTTTGCAAGGAAGCTTTGCCATTAAAATTAAGAAGTGTGATCTGTTCTATCCTATCGATTATATTTCCAGTGTTAGGTAGCGGTCAGGACTGACATGCTTGTCAGCTTTGACCTACAGGTTATTAATAACAGCAGAACCTGCCCCTCACTTTCATTTCCCATAGGTCAACCAGCTCACGGTGGGCACTTCTGCCCTCTGTCTGTCAATGTCTGTCTCTCCACAGCTGCAGTCCCGACTAACAACCAGAGCCAGGTCATTTGGAAAACCACTTCACAACACACTCATTGCTCCGTTTTTGATTCGTCTGTCTAGACTCCAAGGTGAATTTAAAGCTGCAAATTACCATCTGTGTTTTGTAATAAAGTGAAATGCTGCTTATAAAAGCATGAGGGCAGAACACTCTGACCCGCCATGTTCACTGCATAAATCTAGCAGGAGTCTTTTTCTTTCCCCTCCTCGGCACTGTAACACATCTAAGCTGCATTTCCCCCCTCTTCTGCTTGATTCAGTGGAGACTTACAATACATCATCATTTACAGGGAGCCCAAAAAAAGGTCACACCATGCTTCCCAGTGTGCTGCTGTTCTGATGTGGTGGCCGCTGGTGTTAAGACAGAGGGTTCTCTCAGGCTCTGCTGACACACTGTTTTGTGCAGAGCTTTTGAAACAGGAGCTCATGATCATATTTTATTGAGTATGTTCTACGTGCCATTTTTCTCTGAGATTCTAAGTGATTTACTGAGATGAATCTTTCCTTCTGTTTCCTCATATGCCATGTTTTTTGTGGGTTTTTTTTGGGGGGGGGGGGGGGGGGGGGGGGGGTGTTTCTCCAGCTCAAAAGCAGCAAAGCAAGAGCAGAGGGAGAAAAGATAAGAGGGAGGACAGCAATGCGAGAAAATCTGAGAGAGTGCGTATGATGGAGTAAGCCTCAGAAATGCGGAGCCAGTGGATGCACAAAGCAAACACAGAAGAAAAAAAGCAACAACAATGCCGATGATAAAACCACCTTCAATGACCGGCATCATTAATTGTCCCTGGCCTGCTTTGAACAGGATATTTTTTTAAGGCATTGCTTTGACACTCACTCTGGGAGATGTTAGTCAAATACTGTGAATCTCTGCATCTCTAACATTACTGACTGGCTCACTATCATGTGTAAAGGACTCAATGTCGACCCCCTGTTGATGCATTGATCTCTCTCTCTCTCTCTCTCTCTCTCTCTCTCTCTCTCTCTCTCTCATTATCTGTGAAAATCAATCACCACTGATCTGCTTTACACCTTTTGCTCCTGGCACACAACATATTCATTTTTAGGTGTATCAGCTGTCAGCTGATTAATTGAGATTACCTCACACTGTGGGGACTGGTGGAAATACCATGCAGATGCCATATTCTCAGGCTAAAATCAACAACAACAAAAACAACTCAAGGTTGAAGACTAAATGAGGCGGCACTTCGGTGCTGCACACTGTTCAGGGACAGTTTTCGCGGACAATTCTGCCAAACGTGATGTGTCCTCGCTTAGACAAGGCTGTCTGCGTACTGCAGCGTTAGTAACAGAGTAGACAGAGAGATGTCAGCTAGTAAGAGCTCTGATTTGGACACATCATTGGCCTACTAACCCATGAACATGACAGTATGTGATGGATGGATAATTACTGTGGTGATGGAAAGTTTCTGCTGCAGTGCTGCAGGTGAATCAGGCAGTGGGTGTTGTTATTTTAATCTCCAATTGGGATAGGTGTGTCTGTGTGAGTGTGTACCTCGGGATAGGGCTGGGCAATATGGGAAACATTAAATATCACAATATTTACGACCAAAAATGTTGGTATCGATATTATACAGGGTTATCTATTGGTGCTTTTGATAAATATTTCCACAAGGAGGTTTTTGATTTTTTTTAAAAGCATCAGTAATGTGGATATAATGACGAAGAGGGAAAAGGCAACTGATAGAGCGGCTAGAGCAGTCTGGTAAGTTCAGAGAATTACATCACTTTACTGGAATGCAACCAAGCGACAACCTTAATAAGGTGCTGAAAGATGATGCTAATTTGGAAGTGACAAAAACTGCGGTTCCTCAAATGGCCAATGATGGCTGGAAAACCAGGAAAACCAGGAAAGTACGACACGTATGTGATATTACCATCTCCCAAATCTAAGACGATATTCATATATCACAATATATCATATTGATATACTGCCCAGCCCTGCCTTGTGAGCAATATTAATGTGATTCTTTTGATGAAACAAAAAAAGATTGTTTCTGTCTGTGTTTTTGTGTGTGTGTGTGTGTGTGTGTGTCTGTGTGGTATCTGTTGTTGCATAACACTTTTGAGAAGTGTTTGTGCAGCATGTCTGTGTGCAACAAAAAGAGGAGAACCCCCAGCAGTCCCTAAACCTGTCCGACTGTGAGAGCTTAATTTATCATGCAGAAGCAGCAGCTGCAGCTCTTCCTCTGGCACGCACGCACGCACGCACGCACGCACGCACACACACACACACACACACACACACACACACACGAGAAAAACGATTAATAAAACATTTCTGTTTTTACTTTTATGGAATAAAAAAAAAGAAGCAAAGTAGGTATTACCACTCTACACAGTAGGCTAAGCCTAGTTGACAGGACACGGAGAATAACAATGATAACAGTAAATAGCTGATGTAATAATTTGATGGACAAACGTCACTTTGTGCGGTGATGCAGGCAACAGAGAGAGGCGATGCACTCACATCATGAAAGATAGTAAGCCCTTGTCCGGCGCTGTGCGGCTGCTGCTGCTGCTGCTGCTGCTGCTGAGCCAGAAGATGCTTCTGTTTGGCCGACTGCAGGCACATTGTGATCATCTCCGTACAAGCCAGCATCTTTGAAACGCGTTAGAGACACACCTCGATCGGGCGGATCGCTCTAAACTGTTGACGGGAGGGAAGGCGGACGTAAAGTAGCGGCGGTATTGTCTGGAGGAGAGGCAGGCAGGCTGCAGGTGATACCAACTGAAGGCAAAGAGCGGGCGGGGACTCGGAGATGCTCTGCAACTTTGTGCGGAGCTGCCAGCCAATCACAGCGCCCCCCCTCCTCCTGCGGGAGCCGCTGTGATTGGCTCGTTTATCTGCGCCGGGCATCTGGATCAGAGCGTTAATTTCATCAGGACCAAATGATCCGTATATCCTCTGATAATGTAAACAACACATTAATGCACTAAACACAAGTCATCTTTCAATGTTACACCGACTTGGGATTTAGAACTATAACCCACGATGTAAAGAGTAAGTTATAGTAGCTATTAACAGCAAATAAGATGTAGTTTATTACATTATAACGTAGACTTTATAGTGCAGGAACGTGTACGTTTAATGTATATTTGCAATGTGAGTTTAACGTTGTGAAATGTTTGATACATTCATGTCAAAACAACTTTGAGCTGTAAAATTCCACTAGACTCACTTTTATCAGACACTGCCATCTGCTGGATGCTGGGAGTTTTGATATTTTTTCTTAAAAATAGAATCCATTATGATTATATTCCATTACATTTGTTCTTACATTGCATTCAGGTTTATTCCTTTTTAAGAATGGTATGAATAATATAATTGCATTCGTGCCTTTGAGCTGAATGCCTAATTGGTGTAGTGGTCTAAAAGTAGGCTGATAATAAAACGATAGTGTCAACAACCAGATAGCCTACACATAAGCACTGTTTCATTGGTTTTCTTCTTCTTTTTTACAAGGTTGTTTATATCATCATCATCATAACCTTTTAAAGTTCCAAGAGCAGGAGTCAAGGGGCGGAGCACAGCGATTCCAGAGCAACCCGTTGTCATTTCCTCTTCCTGGTCTTCAGTAAGTTTCACTTTCTCCCTGCTGAGAAGTCAGAGCTGGTCACCGTCAGCAAGCAGTTTGGTCTTCATCTGGCTGGAGCTACAAACTTCAAACTTGTTACCTGTAAGTCCACTTGAGGAAGTGAGTGTCTGATGCGGACAGTGCAGCGGGCAACTCGACCAGATCAGGTTGGACATAAACTTGTCTGTGAGGACAGCTGTGTTTGTCATAACTGCGATGTTTACGCCATACATGTTGTTGTTCCACTCCTCGTTTCAGGTGTAATTATGGCCTCTGAAGTTATACCGAGAGTCGATTTGAAAGAGGGTGAGCGGCTCAACTTGGTTTCGATTGTGTTCTGAGGTTTCTGATCTAATGTCATGTGACAACATCCTATTCCCAATATATGACATATATTTAAAACGTATGTTTCATAACTAGGCTACGTGTTGTAGAGGAAAGTGAAAGTGTGTTATTGTTCTGATTAGTCATGAACTTAGATTCTCTAGTCTAATTATAGAAGTACCAATAAATGAAAGTAGGGGAGACCGGGGGCAAATGTAATACTTCTCCAAATGTTCCTTCATAACTCACAGGCTGCTTAAAATACACCAGTCATCTTTTGATACAAGAAACATACATGTGCACTAATTCATAATATAATTTAAATATTATAACTAGTAACTAACCCTAACCCTATAACAGACACATTTATTTTGATACACCCTTTTAAAATGTGTAATACATTTAGAATAATGGAAATACATTTTTTTTTTTACAGAAAAATATGACAACACATGCAAATGGTGCTTAAGGGCACAGGTGCTTACATTAGGCCATGCATCTTGCAGCCATGATAACATCTCTATGCTAGCAACACCTATCTTTTTATCGGTTGTTGATAGTTTGAATTCGCAGCCATCTTAACTTTAGACAGCAGAAGAAAAATACTGTACATCCAAAGAGTAACCTCTAAATATGTATTTATATATATATATTTTTAATTCTGCCAAGGTTGTCTGATCGTTTCTGATTGGAGGAATTGCATGTAGTACAATTGCCCCAAGCCTCCCCTACAATCAAATTTAACAATGTAATATTCTTACTCACTCAACATGTATAAAAGCTATAATATGTGACAGAGAGGAAAGTATAGACAATGCACCACACGGTGCACCACAGGCAGTGCCATCCAATAGTAACATCCGTCACTGAGGAGAAATGTTGACAATAAGCCACTTGAAGATAAGAACTCTTCCCTTGCTCCCTGTGCAGCGGAAGAACTGGCCCTCTCTCTGAGTGACGCCCTCAACAGTGGGGACGGACAGGAAGCGGTCCAACTTTGCCAGAAACTGTCCCAACTACCTGTCCCAGTGTCCGTCAGCGTCAACAGTGAAGCCTACCCTCAGGACTCCATAAGGTGGGACGCAACCATGTGTATGCATGTGTCTGTGTGCGGGACTTCCTTATTTTGGCCATAGTTTCCAAGACGTAAGATGTAAGGAAAACATGAATCTTGCTCCCCGTGGGAAATAATTTGCAATTCCAATGGCAGTGTTTAATTTTTAGAGTGGATTCTGTTTTGAATTGGGATTACGTAATTGCTAAGTATACGAGACAGAAGGTAAAGAATGGCGAAAGTGTGTGTGCGCATGTACCGTATGTGTCTGTGTGTGGTTGCTGCTTGTTGGAAATGTGAAACTAAGTGGGGTTTGGATGCATATTTAATAGAAAAATCAAAGAAAAGCTGGTTCCATTGTTTTTGATTCCATAGGTTGCGGGTCGGAGTGGAGGATGCTCATTCAGATACCGTCATCCCAGTGACTGCTGTGGTTTCTACCGACATGACAATTGCACAACTTAAAGAAAAGGTACATAACGTGACAGCAAACGCTTACAGCTTTACTTTCAATGCACGCAAATACTGCACATTGCACACACGCTTTCTGGAACAAATTTTCAAATCAAAATGTCATTGAATGACCTGTCTGTCCCTCGTTTTGTGTTCACAGATAAGCAATGACTTTGGGTTCCTCCCCTTGCTGCAGCGCTGGGTGATCGGAAAGCGGTTGGCTCAAGACCGGGAGACGTTGTACAGCCACGGTGTCCGTCAGGACGGAGACCAGGCCTTCCTGTTCATCCTGTCTGCCAATTCTACTCAACTGACACTGCATCAGCACAAGCATGACCAGGAGCAACAACGCATAGAGGGTCAGTAACAAACACGCGCGCGAAGAGATCAAGGCTGCTTAGAACAGTTCTTTTCTTCGTCAGTTAATCGGTTCAATTCATTTTTTAGCAATTAGTCTGTCAAAAATATTGACTATTGAATCCTGACTCTTAACAAAGTGAGGAATGCACTAATTAACTACTGTCTTTCCTTTGCTTTTATTTCAACAACAGGGCCAATTTAATACCCTTTGACTTTATTCGATCAGACAATGCCTAATTAATGAATAAACAAACCAAAGAAACTGTTGAATCATACAATCCAAACAATGTGTTTTTGATTTGATGCAGACACATTTATATAGGTTCAATACCCGCCTTGATTACAGGTGGAATTTACAAGTTATATTTAAGTTCAATGACATTATTCTTTATTCTTAGGCATCATGGAGTCCATGCAACTTTTACCCAGAGGGCTGGGCAGAGGTGGTCGTGGTGGTGAGAAGAAGACAGCTGCTCTTCCCGAGACTCAACACATTCCTCCTCCTCCTCCTAAACCAGCGGTGCCGGCTAAACCTCAGGTCAGAATCCAACCTGTGCATTAGACATCATGTCTGCATTGTGACTCCATTACTGTAGTTAAGTATATCTGTGTTTGTATGTAGTTTGGCTGGCCCTGCCCTATATGTACGTTCTTGAACAAACCAACGCGTCCCGGCTGTGAGATGTGTGGAGGAGATCGGCCGGAGGGTTACCAGGTGCCTGACATCTACCAGCCGGACCAGCAGGAGGTTCTTCGAATTCAGCAGGAAAGCCTGGCCATGTTGCAGTACGAAGAGGTAACAGTGCTGTTTATGAAAAAATCGGGCAACTGGTATTTTCTGAAATCTGTTCAGCCTATCTTATCTAAATTTGACGAAACCGGGAACACTGAGACTCATCACAACATACGTTATGTTGTGTGGGGACCAGTCGGCAATAGACCTGCAGCACAGTGCAGCTGGCGTTTTAGCAGGAGTTGTCTTTGCAGTTACATACACAAATATCAGAAACACCTCTTAAGATAATGCAGTCCAGAACAGCACCGTCACCATGGCCTCAATGCTAGAACATATAAGTTAATTAATAACTCTATGATAGTGTTGAACAAAACTGAACAATATAGGCATCGCCCAAGTCAATTTAATGGCTGAACAGTCGTATTGGTGTGCACTAGGTTGTACTTATTTACACAGAAAAAGTAGCCTCTGAGTGTGTAGTAAGTGTTGTTTTTTTGTCAGCTTTAATCACATGGTCAGCCAGCTTAAAAGATTTCTACATTTTGTTCTTTGACACATTTTTATCAAGATTCCAATTTTGACCCAACATTCTTTATATGTATGATAAATGCAGAACCAGTAGATGGCCCTTGTGCACTTACAGAGGCAAATAGATAAAAGGGTAAGTAACATAACAGAGTGAAGTCCTGGTGATGCTCATGGAAACTTTTAAAGCGGATGCCACGAGCTTGTTGTTTCAACAGTCTCCAGCGGTTTCACTTTCCGTTTTCTGGAAACAGAGGAGAATAGGGTTTTGTAATTTGTCGTGAATCTCTCTGTTGTTATCGCTTCCCTCCCTCTTCCGGGTGACGAAGGCTCAGCAGGAGGAGCGACAGAGGAACTTCCTGCATTTGTTGGCAACAGAAGACAAGAACCTTATCCCCAACACCACAGAGGTAGACTGTCCCATCTGCTTCTCTCCCCTGGCGGCAGAGGAGGGCATCGTGCTCAGAGAGTGTCTACACACCTTCTGCAGGTCTGACACACAGAATGATTTTGTTGCTTAGTCATATGTCGTAAAAAAAAAAAAGCTTAAATTGATTTCTCTGCTTTCTTAAAGTCTACAATGGCCACATACATGCCATTATCTGCAAAAATGGGCAAATGTTAGTATTTTAAGCGTTTATTCATCCGCATTTGTTTTTTCCTTGTTTAGTGATTGTCTAAAAGCGACAATAGTGAACAGTCAAGATGCTGAGGTGTCCTGTCCTGAGAAATGTGACAGCAAGCTGCTGGACCGAGAGATCAAAGCGGTGAGTGTCAGACTGGAGAACGAGAAACTTTTTGAAGGTTTCTGGAGGAGGTAGGACTGCCTTACTAGGAAAAGCAGGCCTCTCCAGTGCTCTCAGTGGAGACGCTTCAAAGGTTTGATTCAAAGTGCACGGCCTGTAGCACACGGACGCGAGGCAACACACTTTATCAGAGGACTAATGTTTCGATGCCAAGAGGGTCTTCATCAGAGTTAAACGGTACAGAGATTTAGATTCTCTTAAATAACCTCCCGTAATTAGGGACTGATTCAGCACAGGTTGGAAAAATTTGCCCTATTTTTCCAGCCTGTGCTGAATAGGCTCCCGATTAGAGCAGGTCAGAGAATGAGAACTTCTGTGCTGTTGAAAAGTTCGTCCTCTAATAAAGTTTGTTGCCTTAAATCCGTGTGCAGAAAATCTAAAACACCAGCCCCATCTCAAAGCTGATGGGAAACAGTAACATGTGAAAAACAATAATAACTCAAACGGTTTCGTGACCGTGTTCTGTCTTAAACAACTGAAATGACAATCTGGTCAATGATGAAGAAAATGTACTGTGTATAATTAAAATGAGCCCATTAGCTTTGTAGACCTAATGTAATATTTCACTGTTTATGTGCGTCTGCACTGCTTGGTCAGACTGAGTAAAAGAAAACGGTGGTTTCTTCTTCGTCTTCAAACCTACCTGTAAAATGTAAGAACTGTGCGTGGAATATAAGTTATCCATAAAGGACCACGCAACATAAAAGCATGTGTGGGAAGCTCATTGTTAAACTTGATTTTTTTAAGAAATTCTTCTTAATTAAAAAAGCAACAGAAAATGGGAGATCTAGCAAGTCAGTCAGTGGGGGTGGAGTTAAAGTGGTAGTAAATCCATTATTCAAAACTCTTCCTGGGAGAAGAACACTCAAGTTGTCTAAGATGAAAACCCTACAGTATGCACACTCTTACTCTCTCTCCCCCCCCTCTCTCTCTCTCCCCACTGTATGATCCTGGATACAGCTGCTCACAGAAGAGGAGCACCAGCGCTTTCTGGAGTTGCGTCTGAGCATCGCAGAAAGCCGCTCCGAGCACAGCTTCCACTGTCAGACTCCCAACTGTCGAGGGTGGTGCATCTACGAAGATGAAGTCAATGAGTTCCACTGTGAACTCTGCGATGAGACCAACTGCATTCTCTGCAGGGTAGTTTTTTTGGACATTCACAATGTTAACTGACCCGGGATTTTCTCGCCGTGTAGTAACCGCAGAATCACCAGACATCAAGGGAGTTGTGTGTGTTTTTGCAGGCCATCCATGATGACATGAACTGCAAGGACTACCAGGATGACCTGCGCACCCGAGCAGAGAACGACCTGGCGGCTCAGCAAACTAAGAAGATGCTGGAGGTAGGGTCAACCTTACAGCTGCAGTCTGTTGCCCCGTTTGGCAATAAACACTTGTGTGCTCCTTGGCGCTTGTAGATCAGTTTGGATCGAGAAACACGATCCACACTAAACACATCCCCACATTGGTTTTGCACCAGTGTACTACTCAGTCAGCCATAAACCAGTACAGCAAGCTCTGAGGGGTCTTAAATGTAGCTTCATTATATCCTGGAGGAGCCAACTAAAACACTGGTAAAAAAATAAATAATATTTTGCTCATAAAAAAAACCCATCACATAGAACTTTAAATGATTTAATCAAATCTAATGGTATGAAATGATTCTATGATGAATCATGGATAAAGAGAGGGCTTACTGTCTGCACTCGACTTCAAATGCCAACTCATTTGTTTTACACGTTCTGCACTGACCCTGACTTAGTTAATTGTACACTTTATATTGTAATATGTATTTTTATGTTTGTGGCTCGAGCAACACCTCGGGCTCCTTGTTCTGAACTCTGACTGATTCTTTCAGTTTGGTCCATGCTTTCCCAGCACCGAGGGGTTGTCCTCATAATCCAACATCAACATGTTTTTTTTATTTTTGAGTTGGGTGTATTATTTGGCTGGCGCTGTTTTGTGTACTTTTTTTTTTTTTTTTTTTCTTGAATTGCATACTTGTGTAATTCAGAGTTGTATTGTGCATTTCTCACACTACAGCTTCTCTGCATTTAGATTTGATTTTACTCCACCGTATTTCAATATAGAGTCTGCTGCAGAATGGGGAGGCCATGAAATGTCCACGGTGTGACATCATCATCCAGAAAAAAGATGGCTGTGATTGGATCTGCTGTTTGATGTGCAAAACAGAAATCTGCTGGGTCACCAAACAAGCTCGCTGGGGACCAAATGTAAAAAAAAATAGTATCTACTCACACGCAAAGTAGAAAACCACTTCTTCAGTGTTGGTTTAGTGTTCAAGAAAATATGACTTTTCCTTTTGTTGTTGTCTCTTACAGGGTAATGGCGACATATCTGGGGGCTGTAGATGCCGAGTCAATAATCAGCCTTGCCATCCCAACTGCCAAAATTGCCACTGAGGGAAGCACACTAATGAAGACGCAGAGGAAAAGCAGATTAACTTAATGCTGGCTACGTGAACGTGTTCAAGACACTGTACAGGAGTTGTCTTGTCATTGAGGCACAGCTTTCTTTGTTGCACTGTAAAAATTATGCAATGTAAATGCTACATACAAGCTATGCAAACTTTTAAGCTATATCTTCCACTTCTCCTCCGCTGAGGATTCTAACTGTCAGTGTGAGATTAGTGGGATCTTCTGATAAAATAATACTTTGTTGTTGTACATTAATAAGCATTCATAAATCACATGTTGACCTCTGGCTACTGCTTTCATAGCAAAAAGGTTTGATGAGCCAGCAATCATATTGCTACCAGTTTAATTCTAAACTTTGATAGGATAAAGCTCTGAAAGTGACTTTTGTTTTCATCTATAAATATGTAAAACAAAAAGGCTAATACTCAAATTCATAAAATAAGCAAACAATCCATAAATAATTAATTCACGTCATTTTTTCACATGAATAATTTGACTGTTTTTTGCCACTCATCGTTTAGTCTATACCAGATCTACAGACAAGAGTGTTACGATTGCTGTTTACCAAAGTACCTTTCTGAAGTAAACTGACCAAAAGGTTTATTTTGAAGTTGTAACCAGGGTGTATTTGCTGTTTTTTCTTCAAAATGTGACCAAAATAAGAATGTGTTATCTGCACTATAAGAGCAATAGATTTACTTTGTCGACTAATGAGAAGGAAGTTGTTTACATTAAATGAATGTGTTCAAAGCTAGTCTGCTGCACTTGATAATAACTGTAATCATGTGCATTTATCCCATCCTGAGTATTGAGCAGCGGTAGGCTGCTGTAAAGCGCTCGGGGATTGGTGTCTCGCTCAAGGACACTTAGACAGTAGGGGCCAGGGATCAAACTGTCAACCTTGTGGTTAAATCAACACCCGCTGTACCGAACGAGCTACAGCCGCCGAAACATGGCGCTGTGGACAAATAACGATGCTGTACTTTTGTCAGGCATTTGAGTACTTAAGTGTTGTTTATGTCTTGTATCCATGAAGTTTGTTTGGCTCCACCTCCACATTTTTTTAAAGTGACAGGCCTCAACTCTAATAAACTGGAACTGCAAGCATACAGTAGTGTTAGCATTATTCTAACACAATGAAATGTGTTAACATCAAGCCCAAAGGAACAACAAAGTGCCAACGTGGCAATGAGCCTCAATGTACAAGTTCTACGTCTGAGATGTCTTAAAATTGCTGATTTATTCAGACGGTGAATATAATAAGTAATAATTCTCAGCCGGGGATTACGCACATACACAGCATCTATGTATGCAGAATCAAAGACGTCTCAGAGAGAGAAAATACAAATGGTTACTAGACAGTCTGTTGGTGTGTAGAGACAGTAAGGAAAGGGAGTAGAGATGCCTTCTCAGGAACAGAAAGTCTGGAGGACTAGCAGGTGTGATAAGAGAGCGGAGAGTTGAAGGCAAGATGACCGTTAAGAAAAAACAAATCCTGTTAGGCTGTGGACGTGCAAAAGGCCTCTGTAAAAATGATCTCTGGGTGCTCAGAGAGAAAAACATTTATCAAAGGCACTTCCTCCACGTGCTCCATTGTCAACATAAATTGACACAACATTGAACATTTTCACTCTAGTTTATTAGCATTCTGTTGTACAACTTTACATTAGTATGACAGTTTCATTATAACAAAATAAACAAAAAGGCAGATCCATTCTTTAGTGCAATGATAATTAATGACAGCTGCCGAGTGCAGATACATGGTGTGTCACAATACAGCTGAGCTCTCCGGCACCTCCGTGCATCCTCGGACATGTTCCAGGTCACCTTCAGTCAGTAGATCCCGTAACAGCTGAATCAGTGGTTCACTACAAAGGCAGTACACCACTCAACCACAACACAGGGATGGAGATGTATTCAGTTCCTAATACAGCAAAAACAACTTCTGTCTTTACGTCACTTCAACACCTTCAACTGAAGCGAAACGTTTTTAGTTGACTGGTTGTTGTGCAGCACAATACATGTGACCTGAAGTCAATAATTCAGGCATTTTTCTGTTAAGCAAACTACATCATAAAGATTACAGACAAGCCAAACTCACCATCTTGGAAGGAAGTGCTGTGACAAACTATTTGCAATGTATTTTCTGATGAGACTCGGCTATTCGGGGAAGTGGCTCACCCCTAAACAACACCCTAAATATATGACTGAATGACTGCAACATTGGAATGAGCTCGACTGCCTCTGAAATGCAAATGCTACACTCAAAGCAATCCAACTTAGTTAATGTTAAGTGTTAAAGCTAAATTCATGTTTGTAAGAAAAAAGCTGGATCGCATGAATATGAAGGCTTGGACGCTTTCTTTCTTCCGAGAGGACCACCCCTCGAGGACGAGTGTGAGAAAAGCACCCATCAAACCAATTTGAAAGTGATTTTACAAAACTCGCAGTCAGTGTGAAGTGGGTCCCCCCCCCACTGTGCCAGCCCAAAGACTACAGAATATCCACTTCATTCGATCTCAGCTCTGATATTTTCTGTTATCCAGAGTGAGTGAGTGAGTGCGTTACTAAACTAGAAGGAGAGATTGAATCATCTACTCCAGAGAAAGTGACGCAGAAAGCGAACCCTATTTATTAGAGGCCATGAAACACAGACACACTCTTAAGGTTGTGCATCCGAACAATTAAGTGCGTGAATAAAAAAGGAAAGCTCAAGTAAAACTAGTTTATTATGGTTGATTCTTTTTAGCATTTTTTACTTCCTGGACCGTAAACACTGTGCTCCAATCTGGGGCCTAATCCTTTGGAAGTGTTGAGTGACAAAAGTACTCTTCCAGCAGGCTACAACACATCTACTTGGAAAAGACCAATAGGAATGCATTTAAAACTTCTAACAGATATGTTTAGCTGACCCCCAACCATGAGCCAGAATTAAAATGCAACGGTTGACACGTTTTAAAGATACTCACCAGAAAGGAAGATAATGTCTTGAACAAAAAATACTTTTCGTAGACACGAAAATGGACAAAATTACCTATAACATAATAAAATGGTGACCTTAACAAGGTGCCTGTGTGTCATGACCATCTCTCTTATATACCTATAAAATAAGATACAGTAAATACAAAGGACTCTAACAATCCTCTATTTGGTCTTAGTCCAGGTATCACATGGGTTGCGACCACACACACCCACACACACGCTCGTACATTCACTCAAGCTCTCTCAATTGGCAGCAGTTTCAAGTGTAATGAGTCCACCAAGCTTTCAGCATAAATGTCTGTGAGCATAACTCAATCTCAGATTATCCTAATACCAAATATAAATAAACTTTAACAATGACACCATCAGTAATGGTTCTTATAAAAACAGTCTCTTCATTATAACAGGATGGGCCCTTCATTTCACAACACCAGCCGTTGCAGCTGTTTTACTGGGGCCCGCTCTTCAGGAGGAAGGACCTCCAGCTGGAGCCTTAGAGGCCACACATAGGACATTAAGACACATCCTGGAAGATGAAAAGAGGAGCGTTAACTGGTTCAGTATAGAGAGTGCACTCCAGACAGTGTTCGACTGCACGGTTTGTGGTTTCACTAATTTAAAAAAAGGGTTCTTGGAAGCAGACCCACCAGCATTCAAGGACAGATCTGCTGGAGCGTGGGAGTAAAAGAGGAGCAGTTCAAGGAAACAAGTCCAGTTTGGGGGCCCACTGCAGGGCCGAGTTGACCACAGCGAAAGCTGCTGCCCCTAAAGCCACTGTGAGGCCCATGACGGCCAGTCGGACCAATCGCCGCGTCGTCGAAGGCTGGGCCACCGTCACTACCGCGTTGGCCGCCGACCTCTCCAGTGCAGCCTGTTTCTGTCTGCGTCGGCGACGGAGAACAGAGTCTGGCCGCTGTTGAGTGGACGCAAGGTCAAAGTCCTTAAAGGTAGAGGCGGCCATGCTTAGGAGGAAAAGAGACAAAGAGAGATCGAGACAGACGGAAAAAGGAAAGTGTTAATGAAAGAACAGGGAGCAACTGGAGCTGAGAAGTAGAACAAAGTGGTAAGCATCTGTGGGAACCAGAGGGAGTTCAGTACCTGTCATGTGCGGCAGCCTCTCTGGCCAGTTCAGAGGGAGGGAACTGGACAAAGAGGTCTCCCGCCCGGCTGATGAGCATCTCATACGGCAGATCCTGGGGGATCTGAGACAGCAGGTGATGAACCATGGCCATATCGCACTCACACTCCAACACCTCCTCTTCTCTGTACAGCACAATCTGCAACACAACAACCACAAACACACACCACCGCGTTAGTTATTGACACATTGATGACTGAACAGGTAGAAACCTGTACTTTAGGTACACTTTGATGAATACCAGAATAAACTCGATGAGCCTTAGTTGTCCTTCCTTGAAGTTTATTGGACACAAATCTGATGTCAGAGAAGGTATTGGTACAGCTTGTATGCACGGACACAGTCATACCAAAAAAAGCTTGATATCGTTTCTGGTAAAAAATGATGTCATGTGACAAGGTAGACAACGTGTCTGTATCCTCCAGTCAAGACCAGTTCCCATGCTTGCTTATCACTGGAGCTGGGACATCTTCAAGGACGCCCAGAGCCTCCTCACACAAAGTGTGTTTGGTGTGAAGGACACTGAGGCCTCTCGGGTTACCTCGTGAGGTATGCAAAGAACACCTCCCCAAAATGTAACTTTTGGCCTCTGAATCCCCACATCAAGAAATGTAGCTCACACAAATGTTCTTGCATGTAACCGACTCAGCAGACTTGGTTCAAGCACCATCAAATGAAAGCTGGGTTTCTAAATGGCAAAACTAGGAGAGCCGATTATAGGTCATAAACTTACCACAGCAGCAAAGTAGATGGGCATCAACGGATGGCAGGCCAGGAAAAAGTCATACAACCGGACCACATGGCGGAAGTCTGACAGGACGTGACCAAACCAGGTGATCAGCCAACTGAGAGCAAAGACTGTCCCCACCTCAGCCCTAAGGATCAATCGATGAAGGGCAGAGATCAACTTACATTGGCACAGAAATCTGTAACGCGTGCCGACGCTGCACTTCAGGGACCCTGTATACTAAACACTCGTTATGAAAAACGAGAGTTATGCTACGGTATCTGGAACTGAAAGACATAGAGGGCAGCGCGATGTTAGCCCTCCGAGCAGAAGACTTAATGACCTGTCGTGTTAAATTTTTACAGACTTAACTCGAGCTGTCATAATAGGATCAAGTACGCTGAAAGTGCACCGTCACCCCTCTCCTTCACATACTCAACAATGACATCATCTTTATATTTGAGCGTGCTGAGGTTTAACATTTACCATTTTAAAAACACCTGGGACAAGATATTGACAGTGATGGCAAAGTTCATATAGAACAAAACTGCTTTGGACAGAAACAAACTAAATTCACTTGTTAAAGAAAACATACTCATTTACTACAGCAGACACCAGTGGAAACTATTTATAGAGTAGATATAAATGCTATTACATTTCATAGCCTTACGGAAAGTCATGTAGAGTATGAGGCCTTTTAATATTCGTTTCTGTTCTGCCTTAATTATAGCTGAACTAGCTTGCAAATTATCTTCAAACTGCATATAGAGCGAGGACGGATTTCTCACTGTGGGATGTTTCATGTCCCACAAGTAAACCTCTAATAATTTGGTTTGGCGTGTTACCACTGAAACAGAGAGTCTTACTGTTGCATGAAATCATGCACTTCAGGGTTGACCCTCTCAATGATGGGCATCAAATAGTTGAGAATGTGTTTCGTGTTGTCCATGGTGGGATCCATGAAGTCCCTGAAAAAGACAAAACAGAGAGCCGCTTTAGAGTGCACAATAGACCACTGACGAAGAGAGGAAGTGGTGGTGGTGGTGTTGCAGATTACGTATGTGGAGAGTACCTGAGGTGGTGCGTGGAGAGCTTTTCCACAAGAGCAGTTGCGAGGCGCTCTCCCAGTACCAATAAGAAGGTGACAACAATGTCATGGTATCCTTGGTAGTAGTGCAGCTGGGGATTGCGTTTGAGAACTACAAGGATGATGTCAATTAGTTCTTCCTGGAGACCCTCCCTCTGCTCATCTGGCATACCTGTACAAGACCACCCAGAGTAACATACAGCCGTTAGTTTAAATAGGCTTTCACCTACCAGTCAAACCCAGCAGAAAGATGAACAGACAAACAAATAATACATTTCCGTTATTCCGGGATGAAGCTTAAAAGTACAAATCCTGCTGTGATCTGACTAAAATTCATTTTTTAAAGGATACCGATTGAAAACTACAGTATATCACGTTTCCCCCCCCCAAAAAGTGACAATAGTACATTTTACAGTTTTGTTTTGAAGGCAGAACCCCTTGACTTCCACCTGATCACTGATGGACGTCACAGTGAGATCAGACATGTGTCTAGTAGAGAAGCAGTAATGGCAAAGCTTTGACATTGCGTTGGTCAGTAGGATAACGTGTAGATTTTTCTTAAGTGAATGACATTTCAGTATTTGCCAAGGCAAGTGAAAAAGTACCTTGTTACTTTTATGAAAGAGCTTAAATTACTCTATGAACATGTCAAAATAGTAGCATTTGTCAGTGGTATTGAACTCAATGCAATGTTGATTATCAACAAGTTCCAAATTAAAACTAACCCCTGTACCCCCAAATATGTTGCTTTCTGTCTGGTTCGAAACCCTATGATTTACAAATTGTATGTTGCATTACATTGTATTTCTAACATTAACTTATGAGTCCAAATCTCGAGATGTGATGCTCAGGATTAGTGCACAGCCTGGCAGTGTGTTTATCTATAGGTGTGTCAGTTCTTGTGTACAGTATACACAGCTCAGCATCATGAAGCTGTTCTCTAAACTGGTAGGAGTTCTGCTCACCAGGCGGGAACCTCCGCAGCGAACGCTGGACATCCAGTAGCACCTGGTTGTAGTCCTTGTTATCCTCCCGTTCTACCGTTTCTGGACAAGACATGTCAAAAGTCAGCATTACCACACACTAATCAAATACTGTATGTGGGACATTTTGCACCTGTGTGAACTCTGTATGTTCCCATTTGTCATGCATAGTGGGAGAGGGAAGGCATGTGTGATGGCGTTTTGATATGTAGCCTATATTGCTCAGCTTGTGCGTGATGCAGCTATTCCCACGTGATACCTGGCTCTTGTTCCAAGACGTGAGGAGGGACGTTGAGGAGCCGAGGCCACACTTGACAGCGTAGCTCATCAGTCAGCAGACCACCTTCACTGATGGCCATCCTTCTCAAAGCAGCCACGTCCACTGGACTCGCACTGAGGGCATGCGCGATGTCCGCAATTTTCCTCTTCCGCTTGGTGTCCCAGTCTGAGACACAGATAAACAAACGCAGTGTTCAAGCAAGTGCTAACTTTTATCTTGGGAAAGTTAACGTTACTTGTACGTGCAGGTAACAGTTAACGTACGTTAACTTAAAGCATTTGCGGAGGTTATGGAGGGAATGGTGAGCGAACTTCAGCACCATCAAACGTGAGCACGTTTATAACATTGAAGAGTATTTGGGGACTGGTTTTGCTGCTGAAATGCCCTAAAACATGACTGCCCCAACACGAAGGCAGCTAACGCTAGCGGTTAACAACCTTAGCGACATTTCAAAACTACCGTTACCTTGTTTTCCGTTCACCGGTGACGAGGCACCAGCACCTCTGGATTTACTCATTTTTTTTGTCTCCGCTTCTTGGTGTGTCCTTGTCAAATTACATTAATACTTGCCATCCTCCTTTACTTGGCTACGCTCAATTTAGCCCTTCATGGCTGCCAACTGGGAGCTAGCTGTCTAATTAGCAAGGCCAGCCAATACAAGCACGGCCCGATAGTTAAGCTAACTAACGCTAGCTATTCAGTGTTAGCTAGTTATCGAGCTAACACTACATTGCCCCGGTTCCGAAACTGCTATTTTCAGCGACACATCCATCATTATCCGTGCTACTGACAAACGTGTTGAGCATTAGGAAACGGCTCAACAGCAGTGCGGTTACACCTTAGACTGGTGAACCGGCTACATGTTTACATTGACGGAAGCGACCAATGGGATAGCTTTAGCTAGCCTCCACGCTCACACTGAATGATGACGTAGGGACAAGATGATGTGAGGTGACGAGGAGGAGGAGTCCACCTTCTGAGTTTATCAAATAATAATGACGATTAAAAAAAAGACAATAACTCAAATATAATAATAATTATAGTGCTATTATTATATTTATTTATATTAATATGTTTATTATTCAACCATGTCTTTGATTTAATTATATAGTTTGCTTGTTAGTTGGTTGATTAATCTATTGATTGACTGATTCGTAAACCTTAATTTAGCATTTACTTATTTCCTCCCTACTTAATTGGACTACTTCCGCTCTTTTACATTCCAGAGGTAAACATTGCACTTTGTACTACATTTGGTGTATTTGACAGCAATAGGCATAGTTTGCAGATTAACGTTTTACATACAAAACTTTATAAACCAGCTACACCATTACAATGCTGCTTACACGTTAATGCAGTAAGGAGCCAATAGGTCTACGTTATCGATAATACTCATTCTATTTAGTGTGTCACACCCAAGCATTCATTCACAATACCAGGGCCTTGGCCGACCTAAATGGAACAGGACCATAATTATTTTTCATTAATTACACCTGAGTCTAGTTACATGTTAAATTGCAGTGAAAATAACCTGTTGGGCATAATTTGTTGTATGCATTTATGTTAAACACTTGCCTCTTGCTTACATGTGTTACATATTGACTTCTAGGTGGGGTGTGTTTGTTCAGATGAAACGAAAACGAAAATGACAGGGCATTTAAATAGCAGCTTCCTTAAACTGAGCAGTGTGAGCAGCAGACGCAGCTGAGACAGAAGAGACTTGCGACTGAGAAGGCTATAGGCTCTGTGATGCTAGCGAATGGGCTTGATTACCTTGTAAACCTTGATGTATGTGGAAGTATTCATGTCAAGTGGATAGTCTAGGTGAGTTCTCTCTTTTATTCGTTATGTTGCGTTTGTTACGAGGGGTGGGAGGTCGATGTAGCTGGCTAAAGTATTCGGAAATGTGAATACATTGTAGGGCTGAGAATAAATAGAGCTCCGGAGTGAAATTTAATAAAAAACTCAGTCAACATAAGAGGTACAGAAGGTAAATACTTATTAGCAGATCCGTGAAAGAAAGACGTGTGAAGTGGTTTATAACGTCTCATCCGATTTTTCTGGACAAAAGAAACCTATCTTACAAGATCCGGCAGAGGGCACACTTACTTTAAGTTAAGTCATTGCACTTGCAAGCAAAGTCCACTCTCATAAAGGCATTGCGTACGATACGCTTTCGAATTAAAAATGTCACAAATTACAATTAAAGCCAATACCACACAAAATATCCTGTTTTTCATGAGAATAAAGAGACAGGCAAGTACACGGACTGTTGCTTCGATCTCCTCAGAAGCTGTATTGAAATCAGCCCTTCTTATCTGACCTTGACAATCCTGTTGATAATAGTTTGAAAAATGGATAGAACAGAGTGCATACTTGTGGATGTTTATGCTGTGATGGGAAGTGACGAAGTACATTCAAGTACTGTGTAGGCTACTTAAGTACAATTCTGAGGTACTTGTACTTTATTTCCATTATACTTCTACTCCTTTACATTTTTGAGGCAAATATCTTACATTTTACTCAACCATAATTATTTCACAGCTTTACTAGTAACTTTAGATTCAGATCATTAAACACAAAATATAAATAGATTAGTACACGGTGACATATTTATATGAATTAAGCGCTGTAGAATAAGTACGACTAAAATGCAATTGTTTGGCATTACTACTCTTTACTTAAAGGATAATTATTCGACATCCAGAGCATTAATATAGCTGCAAACAACTATTTGCTATGTAAAGGTGTAATATTGTCCACCCAAGCCCCACTCCCTCTGGATGTGCTGTAAGCTGAGTTTCTCCGTTCTTTGATGTCATAGTCAGGCCGGCCACGCGTGCTATTGGTGCATGTCCGTGCACGTGAGCGCGCATCACTAGCTAGATCACGGGGGCACGTCTGCACTGCTCTCATATGAAGGTGACAGCTGATAAGTCGTCCAGACCGTCGGCCTCGTAGCGGCGCCCACCCTCCCGTTCCCCCACCAGGTGAACACAGTTTGCCCTCCCAGCACTTCTCCCGGTGTTAGCGCTGTTAGCATCGTTAGCAGCGAGCTCTTGTATTATGGCTTCTTCCACCAGTACCTAACTTTACTGCTTGTATATACTACGCAACCCTTAACAATGTGTGCGTGTTCATGCTCAAATGTGATGTATTTACGTTCAATGTCTTGCCACACAGAAAACATCAGTGTTGCCAAACTAAATTCCAGCAACCATGGAAAGGCCAACTTCAATAACTGGTAGGTGATGTCCTAACAATGGTAAATACAGGCTACAGGAGAGGCAATCAAGCACAACTCTTGAGTAGAAATTCAGCCATGGTGTTTATTTTCAAGGTGTAAGTATCTTACTGTCTTCTTATCTTCCTTCCCCCCCACAGACTCAGGACAAGGGAGTGAAAAAGGTGGGAGGAAAGAAGGAAGGGAGAAGACAGGTGGGGGAGGTGAAGGGGTGCGAGGAAGAGGAGCAGATGGAGCAGCAGGCAGGGGAAGAGGAGGAGGAGGAGGAGGAGCAGCAGCAGGAGGAGGAGGAGCAGCAAGCAGGGAAAGAGGAGGAGGAGGAGCAGCAGCAGGCAGGGGAAGAGGAGGAGCAGCAGCAGGCAGGGGAAGAAGAGGAGGAGGAGGTGGAGCAGCAGGCTGGGGAAGAAGAGGAGGAGGAGCAGCAGGCTGGGGAGGAGAAGGAGCAGCAGGCTGGGGAAGAGGAGGAGGAGGAGCAGCAGGCTGGGGAGGAGAAGGAGCAGCAGGCTGGGGAAGAGGAGGAGAAGGAGCAGCAGGCTGGGGAAGAGGAGGAGGAGGAGCAGCAGGATGGGGAAGAGGAGGAGGAGGAGGAGGAGCAGCAGGCTGGGGAAGAGGAGGAGAAGGAGCAGCAGGCTGGGGAAGAGGAGGAGCGGCAAGCAGAGGAGGAGGAGGAGCGGCAGGCAGAGGAACAGTTAGGGGGGTGACTGAAATGCGTGTATTGAGAGGAGGACATAGTTTGGATGGAAGAGGAGGACGTTGGGGTGAGAAAAGAGATGGTGTTGGAGACAGGCAGGAGAGGAATGAAGGCAGATCAAATTCTACAGGCAGAGTCGGGGTACCACAGGGTCGTGGGCTGGGCTATAAAACACTGAAAGAACTCTCTGAAAAAGATCCGTCTGCAGTGGCCATCACCCTGTCCGCTCACCCTGCCCTGAAAGATGTCCTGCAGTGCACAGATATGAGGCAGGACCTTATTGAACTCCTCTGCCTGGTGCTGAGTAAAGCCTTCAAATCTCAGGCAGACAGGTGCACCCTGCAGCACCTGGCCGGCATCATAAAAGATTCAGGGTTCTTCCGCACCGTCCTGCCCCACTATCTGGGGGGCATGGTGTCAGAGTTCAACCCCACCCGCAGGGCGGACTACCCTTTGCACATGGAAAACATCTTGACCATTCTGTCACAGGTAAATAGTGGAAAGAATGAATGGACGAACCAATCAGTTAGTAAATTCAGCTGAAGGATAAATGAAGTAATGCATGAAAAACACTCAGTGAGTTTGCATTAAACTAATTAAATGGACCCAGAAGAGCTGCCTTCAAAGACGGACGCAAACAAAGTCCAGCAAACAATGTTGTGTTCCTTGTTTTTGCCTGATTATGCTTCTTTTTTTCTATTAACAATTGTTGTATTAGTAATTGAAACTCTTGTAGTTGAATATACTTAAACTATTTATCCTCAATATTATGCTCACTAGGTCCTCAGCACCTTCCCTGCCAGCTCGGCCCAGACTGTGAGTCTGATACTGACGATGCTTAAAGCCTCCATCGACAAACTGAGGGCCTTAGGGGTGGACATCCAGCCTCAGACGGAGGAGAGCGTGGAGAACATTGAGGTCCTGATCAAGCACCTCCAGGAGAAATCCAGGGACAGAACCCTGCGCTCGGACAAGGACACGTATGCCCTTCTACCCACAGCAGGTGATAACCCAGATAAGGGCCTCTTATACATCTCTTACTACAAATGCTGTTTTTCTCAACGTCATATGCATGTGATTTATGATACCCAGATGAAGATATGCAACCGGATTTCCGGACCATACCCATCTACCCAACGCCCGAGGAGCTCCAGCTGGAGCAGAGGCCCTTCCTTAGAGCCAACCTCACCTCTCAGCGCTACACAAACACCCACCTCTACCTCGATACGCACTTCCGGCTGCTGAGAGAGGACTTCGTGCGGCCACTCCGTGAGGGGATCCAGCAACTGCTTCGGATCCAAGCGGAAAAGGGAGGGGGCGATGATGGGAGCCAAAATCATCTGAAGACGAAGCAATTTGATGACATCCGAGTATATTTTGACACCAAACTGGTGGTGCCCAGGTGCACGCCGGCTGGCATTGCCTACGTAGTGCAGTTTGACATTCAGCCACTCAAGGTTAGTCTCTCTCTTACATATTTTAAGAGATACAGTATTTTGCTTATTGAATGGCAAATTGAAAAATGCATATATTAACGCGTATATGAATCTTTCCTCCATCTGTCGTACAGTTTGTGCGCTGGCAGAACTCCAAGAGGCTGATCTTCGGTTCCCTGGTGTGCTTGTCGTGTGATAACTTTGAGAGCTTCCTGTTTGCCACAGTGTCAGATCGGGATCCCAAAACCTTAGAGCAGGGACTGGTCCAGATTGCCTTTACTGAAGAGAGCAGAAGCAAGTTGGCCAGAATTGAGGTGGGCAGTGAAGTGTGTGAGCAGAATGCATGTAGTTACGGTCTAATATCAGCCACTTCTTCTGCAAAAAGCTATCACTGAAATGATTGGGTACATTTAGCTAAAACACAGAGAGGGTTTCTAATAAGTCCAGTCTTCACTGATATACAAGAAGTGGACAAAATATTTAAAACACCTCGTAGTATAACTGTATAGCACCACAAAGCCTCCAAAACAAGGTGAATCAACACCTTGTAAAGACTAACTTCCTAACATGCAGGATGGGGGATTTATGCCTTTTTTATGAAACGGATATCCAAAAAAATAAACTTATTATTTCTCACAGAAAGATCAGTCGTTCCTGATGATTGAGACCACTGCCTACTTTGAGGCCTATCGGTATGTTCTAGAGGGTCTAAAGGAGCAGAAGGAGGACGACCTGCCCTTTCAGAGGTAGTAGGAGTGTGTGTGTGTGTGTGTGTGTGTGTGTATTTGTGTTTGTGCTGAAGTTTTTACATTCTACAGCCAAGGTCATAGTTTTGATATAATCCCACAGCACTTCAAAAAAACAGTTCAAAGTTGGTTTTTCAAAGGGAAGCTGGGGGGTGAGGGGGGGGTTAGGTATGATTTAATTATATTGCCACGGTTTTCCAAAAAGCGATCATGCATGAATAAGTTCAAAGGTTTGGTTTTTGTCTCCACTCCCAGTGCCCTCCACAGTTACCACAAAGTAATGTACGATATGAGACGCTTTGTTGACCGTCTGTGCCCGGGACTCTCTTTTGTGACCACTAGAAACGACTGTTTTTCCTTCAGAGGTGCAGCATGGGACTTATTACTAGCATAGGTGCATATATTAAAAACAGTTCATCTTTCTATCTCACATTTTCCTTCTTTTTTTTTTTTTTGCCTGCTGTTAGATGCTAATTTGTGTCGGTGGTGTAAACAGTGCCATCTCCATTTTTTCCCGGTGAATCCTCAAACAGCCCCTACTTCAGCTGAAGATCACTCTGCAGCTCTCCCACTGGTTTCCTTCACCCCTCGAAACTAAACACATGCTGCTTTTGCGCTTGTATTTAAAGACTATGTAGAAAAGTACACTCTTCCTCTTACAAATGAGAAGTTGAATTCATAGCTGACAAAATGCACTTTTTGTTGAATTCGGTACACTCTGGTTTTGCAGCTAAAGCCTTACTTGGCGAAATCATTGTCGGCCGATAACCACTGGGTTCTGAATTTGCATATTGGCCAAGTGTCTCTTAATTAGAAGTCTCTACATCCTTCTTTCACACAGATAGTAGATACAAAAAGTAATCCTCCTATCCATACTGTGTCCAGGTACATCGTGGAGTGCAGCACAGATGTGGAACCCCCGGCTTATCTGCGAATAAGAGATGACTATGACCTGTCATCTGTTGCTCACCCTGACCATAAGCCCAACGTTAAGCCCTTTCACAGCCTGGTGGCACGGGCCTGGCCGAGGAAGGAGGAGCTGGGGCTGGATGAGTCTCAGATGAGAGCCTTCCAGCTGGCCCTCACAAAGGAGCTCACCATCATACAGGGACCTCCTGGCACTGGTGAGACATTGAAAATACATTGTTGGAAGGATGACTTCACTGATGTGTACATGAAAAAAAACAGTGTGAAATGTGTTTTCAACAATCCATTAACGCACACAAATCCGGCATCTTCCATTTTCTCAGGAAAAACCTACGTTGGCCTTAAGATTGCTCGGGCTCTGTTGACCAATCAGGAACTTTGGAGAGATGGACGTGACGCAGCTCCAATGCTGGTGGTGTGTTACACTAACCATGCCCTGGATCAGTTCCTTGAGGGTAAGCAGTGGTGCCAATATGACCAGATCTAGTTTACATGTTGTTTGAGTGGTTTTGGATTTAAAACAAAGAAGTTCATTTGTGAAAGAAAAATGCTGAAACCTTTGCTAATGCACCTGTTTCAAGTTTTATTTGATTATTTGTCTTTACAAGCTGACCTTGAATGGGCAATGTAAGACTAATGAGCTCTTGTTTTGCCTCTGCGTCTTAAGGTATTCATAAATTTCTGCCAGAGGGATTAGTGAGGGTAGGAGGGCGCAGCAACAGTGAGATCCTGAAGCGTTTCAATCTAAAGGAGCTGACCCACTCACCTGACTTCAAACGAACGCTGCCGCCTGACCTGCAGCGTGCATACAGTCAGGTGAGCTGCCTCACCTGCAGCGTGAACGTGATGCTTCAAGTTGCTCCACACTTCTTTCTCTCATGCGCAGCAACATGTTGAGAATATATGAAAGGATATGTGTTTACATAATTCCTAATCATTTTGCCTTTTTGAGATTCTGTAAAAAGTCTTGAGTTTATTATGTTGTCTGTCATGTTGTTGTGTTATGCACATTTTTTACCTCATCTTTGTCTGACAAAGTCTCTAATGGAAACCAAAACATAAGGAAACCGAGATTTACTTGGAGAAGAACAACCAGCTTTATTGTAAAGTAACCATACTGCTACTTTAAGGGGAGGCAAAAACATTGTTTTTTCAAAAGCCAGTAACTGAACTTCCGGTGTTCTCCCAAACTAGAGACGCTCCAAGTCATGCTGGGGCAAAACATTCAGGGAGAAACAAGGCTCCAAAAACTGTGTCGCCGACCTGCGTGTCTCTGCCGCACTCTTTGCTCCTCCGGTCCTTCTCCTTATTTTTGATGAGCCATTGATTTCAGGTGCTCCACTCCTACAGAATAATGCAGCTAGAGGGGAGGGAGAGCACCAGAGAGAGAACAAAAACAAACTGAACAATACGGCACATGCAGGGCCACCCGTCATAGTCGGTGTATCACATTCTTTTGTGATGTTGCCGCCTAATCACTGTCTCCTTAACCTGTTACTCAGGTTTTCAAGCAGGTGTGTGAGGAGGAGAGGGCCATCCAGAGCCAGAGCATGAAGCTGGAGTGTTGTCTGAAAGGCATCCTGCGGGAAACCTTCTTACAGAATGTCATCTCAGACGGACACTGGGACAGTCTGCACCAGCGACCGCATGTGAGGAAATAAAACAGAAACATTCTGTGTACACGTGTAAACTGATGAAGACTGTGCAAAACTCATCAGTTCCTGTTTGTGCAATGATTTGTAGACATGGGGAGATTTTTGGACCTCGGGCGAGAAGAAGGCCAGCCTGATGATGGATTGGTTGGGTTTGGGTTCCACCGTCTTCCTGCAGAGGGCGACAGAGAATGCAAATAGACATGACGGTAAGGCTTTCAATGTGATGAGCACTCCACTGAAATCGATTCGAGAGGATCTGATAGTTGCTTCCTTTTCACTGACAGTTTGTTAACGGCACCTCAGAACTGATACTTTTAGCATTACAAGATTCCCTCCACAGAGGCTGTCGCATTTGCCCATGAAACAAGTGAAGACCAGTATAGCACTGCTCACATTTACACAGATGCATTAGCTGTCTAACCTTGCCTTGTAAACGCATCACATTATTTTTAAAGAAGTAATGACATCAAAGGGATTGTCAACCATCAGACACGTAAGACCTGTACTGTCCTCACCTGTTGACTTGCACTCAACCATCACAGATATGGCTGAGAGAGCATAACAAATGGATTCCACTTATAATATTCAACTGAAATGTTTTGAAATGACCTCGAGGAAAATGATTTATGTAATTATGTGCTGAGATGGAAAATATGACTTCAGGGAAACGGAAGCTCTTACTCTTAAGTGTCCGTCTTCTTCGAAGTAAATTGATGTCATCACTGCCCGAGTCATGAAGTAACTTTCTTTGGTTTCACTCCCAGTCCACAGCATCTCGTATGAACACCAACCACTGAGCCAGATAGCCTGTGCAGCTCCATGTCGGCTGACATGAAAACTTAAGAGCTTCAAAAATGGCAAAATGACCATCAAATTCTTAACACTAAACGGTTCCAGCTGGATTTTGTAGTTTAACAATAATAAATAATCTAGAACCCAGTTCAGATAGACCAGTCTCTGGGAATTATATAAACCATGAACTTCTACCATTTATCATGGAATGTACAGTTTATAGACTCATGTTGTCTTTTTTTTTATTTTACGACCTTTTCTTGTGTGTTATTACGATTCCATGCAACTTTATAAATCGTCGACGAAAACTAAAATGCAGCGCATTTATTTTACTGGTGAATGAAACACCGATTCTTACTCCAATGTGTCGGATGCAGCAGCAGAGGAATCGTTGGAGTCGGATGACGGGGACGACCTCATTGTCATCGCAGAGGAAGCAGATCTGATCCTGGAAGAGCGGTTTATCGAAGACGGCGGTGGTCACAGAGATGGCAAGAAGAATGGAAACTTGGATGAGGCTGTCCAAGCAGTCGGGGAACTGATGCTGGCTATGAACCTGGAGACCGACGAAGTACAGGCTGAGCAGAGCGAGGAAGGCTTTCAGGTAACGTTTCTCATGATTGGAATGGATTTAATATTTCATGAGTGTTTTTGCAATCCCTGTTCAATCAGACAACTTGATTATGAATGCAATTACTTATAGTTTAAGAGGAGTACATACAGTATAGTAGTATATCTAAGAGCTGTCCAATGGAACCGTATCAGGTGCTGCCCTATACTTACCCTCTGGTTTTACATTCACTATTTTTTACGAAAATGCATCGTGTGGATGTCCTTGGGGTCTAACAACTGTGCTGAGTGCATTTCTCCACCACAGATCTATATCTTTATACCTTTCAAACGGTTTCTTTACAACATGGCTAAATACACTTCTTCTGTGTCGTGCTGTCCAATTGTCATACTTCGCCCTCCATTAAGCTACAGCTGACCCTTAAATGGTCATTTTGATGTCGATTAAAGAGCAACAAAATGTTACCACATTGGGTAGGATTCCAAACCGTTAATAAATTGAGGTTCTGATCTGTGCAGCTACAACGGCACCAGAAGAAAAAGTTGAAGAACCGAATCAGGACAGAGCTGAGGAAGAGATCGGCCATGACTAAAACGGAGGAAGATGCTGTCTTGGATGTTTGGACCCTTAGCCAGCGAGACAGATGGAGACTCTATCGGTATGTCTGCATCTTTGTTTCACTAACGATCTGCCTTTTTTCTTCCCCATCACTTCTCCTGGTACCTTTCTTACATTTCTCTTCCTCTCATCCCCTAAGCAACCTCAGCCTGGTAGAAGTAGTCTATTCCCAGTGTGTGTAATTAAATCCACTAATCACCAGGAAAATGTCTCCCAGAGGATCGTCTCACCTCAGAGAGCCAAGACATAACAACCTAACAGGGCTACCAGGACTGTTGTTTATGTAGTCGTAATTATTATTTAAACTGACAAATGGGGCAATTTCCTTCCAAGACTGATATGATACGTCTCCCTGTAATTGCTTACCCACTAGTAACAAGTACCACAGCATTGTTTTTTTTTTTTTTGTGTATACTTTTAGATGCTGAGCAAATAATGAGTGTTCCGGTCTCCAGACTGTCAGTTGTCCCAATGTTTTGCTATTAATAATTTGTGCCTGCAGGTTGTGGGTGGCCCGCTACAGAGTAGAACTTTGCACCATAATCCAACAGTCTGAAGAGGACTATCAGAACGCCGTGGACAGATTGGCCGATGTAAAACTTCATCAGAACCTCTGTCTCCTCAAGAAAGCCACGGTACGGTATTCAGTTAATATATAGTGTGAATGTATTTATTTTTGTAGATTTAGAGAACTTTAAGTAAAACACTTCTTGAATTTATAGGTTATCAGCTTAATATGCGGAGAGGATAATGAAGCACATTGCTTTACTTCCACTTACTATCTAAAGTTGTTCTTGTTGCCTGAAAGATACCCTTTAAATATTTAATATACTTATAATTCCGGACTCGTGTTTACTGCACGCAATGCGCAAACTAGTAGACGGAAGCAAAAACATTTCAGTAGGGCCTCTGTGGATCACTATGAACGATGGTATTAATGACACTAACGTGAGGCTGCCAGCCAGTCAGGGGAGACTACTGCGCCCGTCCAATAAATACTCAGGTGCTGAATTCCCCTCCCACATAAAACTGCAACCTGTCACTTCTACACTTGAGTTTTGTGCTGATTAAACAAACATATAACGTGTGCAATTAGCAAGCTTTAGGCAGATTTTGTTACCTTTTTTTTTTTGGAGAAGCCAAATGAGCCGTTTCCTCCTGTTCCCAGTGTTTGTGCTAAGATAAAATTCTTGGCTGCAGCTTGATATTTAATGTGCGTCCCATCAGGTTATTGGCATGACTACAACAGGGGCAGCCAAGTTCCGTAGAGTTCTGCAGATTGTGTGTCCACGTCTGGTGATTGTGGAAGAAGCTGCCGAGGTTCTCGAGGCTCACACCATCACGACGCTGAGCAAAGCCTGCCAACACCTCATCCTCATCGGAGACCACCAGCAGGTACGAACTCGCGCGGACAATTACGGCAGCCATTCCTAAACAATTTGTGCACTGGTGTGTTTTGTTACGCCATCTTCTTCTGACTGAAATTTACAGGACAAACCTGTTCAGAGGGATTTCGTGTCGTTGTCAGTATGTTTGTGCATGTCGCCTTGAGGGAAATGGCGAACAAAAAAAAACATGCCATGCCGGCCATTACAAAAGATATAGAGAAGAGTGATATGCTGGACATCAGTAGACTATTACGACAACTTGTTGAGGCCTGCCAAGGACATATGGCCGGGCAGCCTGTCTAGCAATCTGCGCTGCACACAATTCTATCGCACCATCTGAATATTCTGTCCTGGTCTCTTCTTGCTTTGTAACTTCTGTCTGCTCTTTCCCTAATATTTGCTTGTTGTGCTATGTTTGTGCATGGATTTATGAAGGCATTTGAATATACAAACAAACCTGACTTCTTTACAGTTTGCACTGAAAGTTTAGCGAGTACAAGAATGGAATTCAAAATAGAGGTTGACTTGAAAATTGCATTTATTGTAACCCGGGCTTGGAAATCCATAGTCATCTTTAGATATACAAGATTATTATAAAAGTAATTTACCACTGCGCCGGAGGCTCCCTTCACTGTTTTACACAAAGTGCAATTTAATGTTGCGAAATGAATAAATCAATATTAAAGTATATCTGAATTATCAATTTAAACTACAGAACAATTAAATTAGTACAGGTGTGGTTTAAAAAAGATGACGTATTCTGACTGCACAATTATGTGTAGTTGGTTTGTTTCATGGGTTTAAAGCCATTTTGATGATATTTTGTTTTGATTCTATGACCCAAGTGTTCAGCGCTTTTGTTTTTTTGAGTAACCCAAACTTGAATCCGTGCATGTAACGGAGGTGGATGCATCACACTTTCCGAGTAAAATAAGCTTTGGCGTTGTGCTGTTCATTAATCACAGGTTTGGTGTTGCATCGAGCAGAACACAATGCATCACATTTATACTAGAATTTGTCTTGCCTCCCCCACACCCCTCCCACATGCATGCACAATCACACTCTGTCCTCTAGCTAAATTAGGTTTGCACACACACACGGACACTTGCGTGCGTACACACACACACACACACACACACACACACACACACGCTCACATTTTCTGCACAGTCAAAACAGTAAAAAAAAAAAAAAAAACTCGACAGGAGAGGAAAAGAAAGTTCGAGTGCATTTGCATACATCCTATATTCCCATCCAGCCACCCTGAAACAGAAACTCGCAGCAGAATATTGTTAATCCCTTCCAGGCTTACCACTGTATAGATTGGTGCTTCCACCTGTGTCTAGGAACTGTGTAATACGTATTCACTAGCATTTACATAACTGTAAATGGTCTTATCACCATAGGCATGTGTCCATGAGAGTCATCCCTCACTTCTATGGTTGTGATCTAGGGCTCCTTAAATATGCTAATATAAGACAGTAAACCTGCGGAATTGATGTAATCACCACTGGATGGAGCAAGATTTATTCATGTTCCCAGTTTGTACAAAAAAAAAAATAAAAACTACGACATTACTTTAAGCCTTTCCGTAATAATTCATGAAGTTTAAAGCATATGGTAAACGTGATTTTTTTTAAATTTTTTTTTTTATTCCTTTAGCTGCGCCCCAGTGCCACAGTTTATGACCTCGCTAAGAACTTCAACCTGGAGATGTCCATGTTTGAGCGGCTGGTGAAGATGGAACTTCCTTATGTCAGACTCGACTACCAGGTCAGTGTTTCTGCATCTGTTCATTTGTTTATCTTATCAAAGGATCTGTCGATGAATACAATGTAGACATGTTGAGATTATTCAGTTAAAGACCAAGTATGTTTTGAGTCTCTATGACGGGTTTATCTGTGCTTATGTGTTGTGTTTGTTCTTCAGCATCGTATGAGGCCAGAGATCGCCCGTCTTCTGACTCCACACATCTACGCAGAGCTGGAAAACCATCCGTCTGTGTTGAACTACGACAACATCAAGGTGCATATTTTATTTTCTCTCCTGCTGCGCATCCAGCAGTGAATATCCGTTTACTCACTTGCATGGATAAAAAGCATCTGCATAGTTACTTGAATACATATAGATATTTTGAGTCACTGTTGGGAAAGATTTAGAAAAATATGATAAAAGTATGTTGTAAATATCAAAGAATGACATGGAATATAATATATTAAATGCTGTTTTACAGGGCCTTGATACCAATTTATTCTTCGTGGAGCACAACCACCTAGAAGAACAGATCAAAGACGGGAAAAGCCATCGGAACCAACACGAGGCGATGTTTGTAGTCTCTCTTTGCCGCTATCTTATCCTTCAGGGGTACAAACCCGAGCAAATTACCATCCTCACAACATATACCGGGCAGCTCTACTGCCTGCGCAACCTTATGCCTGCCAACCAGTTCACAGGGGTCAAAGTGCACGTAGTGGACAAATACCAGGGAGAAGAGAATGACATCGTTTTGTTGTCTCTGGTCCGCAGCAACCTGCAGGGTAAAGTTGGCTTTTTGAACATTCCCAATCGCGTCTGTGTAGCCTTGTCTCGTGCCAAGAAAGGTCTCTACTGCATTGGCAATAGTGCAATGCTGGGCAAAGTCAAACTGTGGAGCAACATCTTCCACACCTTGAGGGAGAAGGACCAGATTGGAAAAGCTCTGACGCTGTGCTGTCAGAATCATCCAGATCGACAGGTGACAGCGGCTCACGCCGACGATTTCAAGCAAGCCCCCGAGGGAGGCTGCACGAAGCCCTGCGAGTTCCGTTTGGATTGTGGCCACGTTTGCTCTCGCGTCTGCCACCCCTACGACCCCGAGCACAAGGAGTACCAGTGCCTCAAGAAGTGCCAGAAGACTTTATGCGATCTGGGACACAGGTGCCCACTTGTGTGCTACAAAGCATGCCCAGAGAAATGTTCAGTGATGGTTGAGAAGATCATACCCCAGTGTCAACACGCACAGTCGGTTCCTTGCCACCAGGACCCGCATACATTTACATGCCGGGAGCCATGCACGAAGCTGCTTCACTGCGGACACCCATGTGAATCACTGTGTGGAGAACCATGCATCCTCAGTCGGTGCAATGTGAAGGTCCCCATCGCACTGAAGTGTGGCCACAGCCAACAGGATTCGTGCTTTTACAAAACGCACACACAGGAGCCTGAATGTAGGACCCCTTGTCAGGAGCAGCTTAAATGTGGCCATGCCTGTCGCGGTAGCTGTAGCCGGTGTTTTCAGGGCCGGTTCCATTCCCCATGTTTTCACCCCTGTAAGCGTCTCCTGATTTGCTCTCACATATGCCCGGAGCCCTGCACTCGTGATTGCCCCCCCTGTCGGAGACCGTGTGAGAACTGCTGCGTGCACAGCAACTGTACGAAGCCTTGCGGACAGCCCTGCGCTCCGTGCGTTGAGCCCTGCGATTGGCAGTGCCCTCACCAAAGCTGCAGCATGCTCTGCCACGAGCCATGCGATCGTCTGCCATGCGACCAACCCTGTGCCAAGACCCTGGATTGCAGCCACCCATGCATAGGTCTGTGTGGAGACAAATGTCCGAGCAAATGTCGCGTTTGTAATCACGACGAGGTCACAGAGATTTTCTTTGGCACCGAGGATGAGCCTGAGGCTTACTTCATTCAGCTGGAGGACTGTGAACACTTCTTTGAATACACAGCCATGGACCGCTACATGGATGCCAACCAGCAGGCAAATGAAGGCGAGGATGAGGCCATTAAGCTGAAGGAATGTCCCAAGTGTACAGTTCCAATCCGCAAGAATCTGCGCTACGGATCTCACATCAACCGCTGTCTTGCTGAGATTGAGATGGTAAAGGTCAAGATGAATGGATGTCAGGCAGATATTGATGAGCATAGGGAGACTCTTCACAAACAGTGGGCGGACAACCTTCTCCTCGTTAAAAGGCATTGCCGAATGGACTACATGGAAGTCAATTACCAACTGGAAAAAAGCCATCTCACAGCAAAGGACCTGTGGACCCTGGAAAACAAGATGGATTTCCTAATAAGAGTTGCAAAGCTGAAGAAGATCCTAAGGGATAAACTGCTGGAGATTCAAAGCTCAACATTGGAAGATAATGTCGAGCAGTTTGTGCGCTGGCTCAATGACCGGGGCCAAAAATTCACAGACCAGCAGGTCTTTGATTTGCAGAGAGAGCTGCAGAGAATCACCCTCCTGATTGAACTCAACACCCGTTGCAGTCAGGCAGACATGAGAGGACAAAGTGACAAAATACGATCCGAGGTAAAAACGATAACGGAGCTTTTGGAAAAATGCGGCCAATTCACTGAGCAAGATCAACAACGAGTGACCGGCGCCATGAAGAAACTCGACGAGAAGTTCCCGCCCACAGGCTTGGGGATCAATGACGAGGAGAGAAAGATGATCGTATCGGCTCTGAAAATGCAGCCTGGACACTGGTACAAATGTCCCAATGGCCATGTCTACGTTATAACGGAGTGTGGAGGGGCTATGGAGAGCAGACGCTGCACCGATTGTGAAGCTACTATTGGTGGGGCCAATCACACACTGACTGGTGGCAACCGAGTTGCCTCAGAGATGGATGGGGCGCAGCATGCTGCTTGGTCCGACAACAACAACCTTCTAAACTTTGATCCTCTTGACTTCTGAAAGCCGTCGTTGCCTTCACAGTCCTGGTCTGTTGGTTGCAATACCTAAACTGTAATCACTTTTAATTCATGTTGGACTAGGAAGGCTCTCTACGAAGGTTACTGAGATAATGCAGTAGTCTATTTTACTTTGAGTTTTATGAATGCTTTTTAGTTCTCTTGCGTTTTCATATATACATCCCAGTTGTTTTTGGTCTTTCCCACAAATTTTGCTGTGTATGTGTTTTGATGCCACTTTGTGTTCATGGAAGTTTGAACATTTCCTGCTTCAGACGTAGTGGTTTTGTTTTAAAACTTGCTTTCCTGCATTTGCTCAACCATCCTTGTGTAAGTAACAGTTGTCCTGTTGTTCAACAATAGGTGGCAGTAAAACACTGTTAAAGAGCTTACAGAGAAATGACATGATGGTTATCATTTTTGCAGCTTGTTTTAAATGAAATAAAACTTGTTTGAATGTATTCGCCCATTCTTGTCTTAATTTTACACACACACACACACACACCATAATGTAAGAAATACCAGCAGGGAGAGCAGTGCCTTCCAATAAAAGGTTTCTGCAAATATACACGGAGTTAAAATGTATGTTAGTATTTTTCATATGGGCCTCCATAGGCAGAGAGCAATAAGCTTAGCAGAAATGATTAACATGTAAACTTGTAATGCTGCTGCAAGACGTATTTGTAGAAAAGCTAATGTTGACACGTGCACATAAATGCAGCTCATGGGAATAATCAACATACCATTTTTAGAGCTGCTGTTCTGTAGGAATTATTTTATATATAATGCGTGACAAGAAATCCTCCACCATTATTACAACAAATGCTGTCTTTGCTACCCTGCTCGCTCTCTTTCTCACAGAGACAACATGAGTTTATCACAGTCTCTAATAGGACATCATTGGCATTGAAGCCAAAGAAACAACCCTGAAATAGCTACAATTCCTCTTCACTACTGTACAGTCGCTGAGTTTCATTTTTTGCATTTTGTAACCACTTGCATCACTTTATTACATGATGAATGTGTCCCTGTCACAAGACCAGCTCCAATGCAAACTGCGCAGTCTGCAGGGAGGGGAAAAAAAAAAAAAAGAAACATCCAAAAATGCACTGTCAAGACGAAGTGTTAAAATTGAGCAAACTTTAAAAGGGTGCCACTCTCAGTATTTATAGGATTCAAGCACCCGGCTGAGAGAGAGCTGGACAAAAAGAGGCATTGCAGAAAAATGTTAAATATCCTACAGAGTGGACTGTCTCATCTATCATGTCAGGTGGCTTTGTGTTGTCAGAGTTTCAGCTGGTGTGACCCTGCAATAGAACTACCAAGTCCCCCCCCCCCCCCCAAATCACGCGCACTGTACATTATGTGGTTTCTTTACTGTCTCTAGCAGAACTGATGAGACACGAGAAGGATCTGACACACCCAGCAGTGATCAGTGAGGGCTGCAGGGAATGTGAAGGGATAAAACGCAGCAAAGCCAGCCGCTCGTTTTAAAACTACAACAAAGACGACAGAGCAGCAATGTCTGTGAAGCCGCTCAAGGCAGTACCCAGTAAACATGTCCTTATTAACAGACAAAGGGATGAGCCCTGACACTGGCAGTGGCACTGTTAAGCAGACCGGCGCAGCAAGACAAAACCAATCAACATTTCTTGACAGCGAAATATAAACGGTGTCCCAATTATAGAAAAAAAATAAAAAAGATGATACAATTCAACACTGCTGTCTTTGCTCCCATAGTAGATAAAGAACATTGGCTATTCCAGTCAGAAAATAAAATATCTACCGATGAGTTCAGACACTGGACCAGAGGGTCAAAGTTTAAATGGAACCTGACTGACACACCAGTATCATGATCATCTTTCAGCTGTTGGTAGCCACTGTTAACAAGCTCAACGTCGTGTTGTTAAAACCATTTCAGGATGAGTGGACTGAGAAATACATATTCATCCTATCAAATGAAAACGAAAGAACAACTTACTTCATATGCAATGGAAACAATGTCCATGGCAAAGAGTGGAAACATGAAGTTCCAAGACACCAAACAGGCCCGTTTTGAAAAAGTTTCCCGTCAGTGACAAGAGCAAGAGCAGGCGATGGAATCAGCATTTTCCACTATGAATAACTCATACTACGGTAAGCTAACACTTAAATCATTGATGTCCACCTTGTGTGTCCAATTTTAAGGACTTTGTTAAACAATAAAGGTGTCACTTCTCCCATCAATGCACAAATGCTTTTAGTTTAGTGTGCAAAGTTCGGAAGTTTTTGGAACTTAATCTGCGCGATCTGTAATGAAACAAATACCCCAGAGTTATATACATGTTCAGTAAATAGTCAAACTTGATGCGACTGAGTTTAGTTTCTTCACTTTCCAGCATCCTTGCACAAAAGCTTTTTGACTGCAACACATATTGGGTATTTTCACAGCTCCCCATACACCTTACAGGTTGTCATTTTGACTCGCAGGGTAAGGGCACTCGAGTGTAAGTCTTAGAGGTCCACTAACCAAACTTCCACTGTGTTGAGCATCCAGGAAGAGTGGATGTTGACTGTGGTTTGTCTCATATCTGGCTCACACAGAATCGGGTGGTTGAAATGAAACGGTTGAATAAAGGCTGAGAGATTCAATATGTGATTGAAGATGCCATTGTTTGATTATTTTGACATTGTATATTTTGTTTATACCATGCAACCATGGTCTTGAAGCAATACAATTTGAATTTTAAAATGCCTTCATTTGTTATCTGGTTCAGATATCATATTCACCTCTTTGCAGTTCAAATGTAGTCAAAGAAAAAAAAGGACAGTATTACTCTGTCCCTTAGAAAATGCATCAACGTCTATAATCACAGAACAAACTGCTGGTAATATGTTGGCTGTAAGAGTAACGCGGTTGTATTATCAGGAAATTGCTGATGAAAAGCCACCAAGGGAACACTAATAAGCAAAGCTGCTTGAGATCCAAGGTTTCTTCATAATACGGGATGCTCTACCAGACAGAAACTGCTTGTGTCATGGATGGCATACAGAGCAGCCTTGCTCTTTTGGCAAAAGATCTGAAGCAAAGTTGCTTAAAGATTAGCTTTCACTATCATGTGTTACCTCCAAGCCTCTTAATGTGTGATGCACCATGTCTCCGGGCTAAATAATAAATGAGAGGTTGTTTACATAGTTGTGCTCCAAAGAAGTTTTTTTTTTTTTTGAAAAACTTTTTTTTTACTGCATTGCATAATTGCAGTGGCTTCTTCTTTAAATGTATCCGCTAATTCATTTCCTTTGATTCCAACATGTGCCGTCATCCGTAGAGATAGCGCGCTCAGTCCCATCATTTGAATTCTGTGCAAACGTCAGTTGTAATTCTCTCAAAATGTCTGGTTTGCTTGTTGAATGTCTGTATCCCTAACTGACTTGAATCTGAACAAACAACTGCTCTTGATGGTGTCTTCAAACCTTTGTAATGCTAACAAGAATGCGAGCCTTTCTTCACTTGATGAACCACCACAGCTTTTCTTCTCCACCTTAAGGTTAAACTCTGGAACGGAGAATGCAATTCCAATTGTATTGACTGAAGTCTTGGAAGTGTTTGTAGTTGAATATAACTATGGTGACTTTTTGTGTTGGTCTTTACTCTTTGTGAATTCAAAATAAACTCTTAAACCTTCTTTTTGATTATTTGTCAAATCTACAGTAGGATCAGGTGGTATTGCTGATAATGGAATTGGATTTACGTTTATTTGAGATAATTCCAGTTCTGTTGCGTTCTGTACATCCAAAGCTCTTTGTTTCTCTCTCCTTTTCCCAGCTTAGTGTGCAATTGAGTGGAAGCTTTGGGAATCCTTCTTAAGCAGCATTTCTTCCAATTTAAACTAATGTAATGCTAATGTTGGAGTTAGGTTCGGGTTTGATCCCAAAGCCTGTGAACTTTTTGAGAGATGTACTTGCAGCAACACCACACACCCATAATGTTGTATATAATTAATGAATATGATAAAGATGATCATCAATACATTGTTTACCCATTTACTCCCAACCAGACAATAGCTTTATCACTTTATTACATTTGTCAATAACCTTGTGGATGTGAACTATTCTTCTGTTCAACCACAACCCGAAAACTTACATTTTTCATGCTGTAAAATGTCTTGAATGAAATCTTGTTTTTTTTCCTTAGGTATTTAATAAATCCTCTAATAAACCCCTGGCTAAACCTCTTGGATTCCACTGAAGAATAATCATTACTGTAGGTCCTTTCACCCATGACTCCAGGTTTCCTATCTGTTTAAAGCCTTTTGCTGATTTTTCTCCGATGATAGAATAAGTTCAATCTCAAAAAATGTCAGCTCCTTTTACAGTTATGTGTTTAGTTTCCTCTGTTTTGAGTTTGACTTGATCTGTAGAATTACATACACGAGCAATGAATCCGTTTACCCACACTACATCAGTTGATGTCTGTCCTATGACTCTCCATGTCGACCTTCACTGCCTCTGCATTGCTTTTGTTGCTTCCTGTTCTCACACTTGAATCTCCACTTGAATTTTCCGGACTTCATAGTCCCATTGTGCTGACCTCCGCAGTTACAAAATTTAGCCTTCACATCATCTTCACAACCTTCACATTTGTGATGTCCACATTTGCCACATTTTTCTTTGCCATAACAGTGAAGAGGAGGTGGATTAGAAGGCCTGACTGAAAAGCTCAGTGATTCCAGAAACAGCGACAGACTTTGTAATATCTGACAAGTAATTGTTTTTAATAGTATCCCTATCCTCCTCACCTCTACTTGAATACTCCATGTTAGTCTTTCCATATCCTCTTATCCTGTAATCACTTCCAGGGACAGTCAATTTTCATCCAGAATCCTCTGTTTTCTTGCAAATTCTCCCAATAAGCAAAGCTTTATTTCTCTGTTCAGTTTTGCACATCTGAAGGCACTAAGATGTCTGGTTGGAAGAGAATGGGGCGCAGATATAATTGCATTCAGACCACTGAGAGAAGTTGTTGTTCAAATTCATATTCATCTCTAGATAACAACAGCCATACAGAACTGAAATGATGGGACTGAGTGTGCTATTTCTATGGATACCAGCACATACTGGAATAGAAGGACATCAATTAGCAGGTACATTTTTTAAAAGCAGCCACTGCCATTATGCAGTGCAGTATAAATATAAAAAAACACAAATGAAACAAAAAAAATTGATAGATAACTTTCGTAATATATAAATGAAGAGTGTAATGCGTGCCCAGATTGAAGATAAGGTGCCAGGAGCGGTGGGAGGAAGAGAGAACGGAGTGATGGTTTATAGAATTGAAAGAAAAGTCTGAGGGATGAGAAGCGCAGGAAGGAGCAGGAGAGGAGACACTGATATCCTGATTGATATATGGTAAACAGCACATTCTTTAACACAATACAGGAAGATGTGACTTCCTGTAAGAAAAAACACTTAAGAATATAAT